CCAGCTGGCCATGGGTACCACCTTCTTTGCAGAAAAGGCAGGCTCTGGCTCCCCCGCTTGGTGCTCCTACTAATGCCCCTGGCCTTACTGGGAGATCCAGCTCCTGGCACTGACTTTAGTGTGTGCCCTATTTTGCCAATGCCCCTGAAGTGGGAAGTGTGGTCACTGGTCTACCAGGAAGACAGCTAAGGGCATTCACTGAGTCCATGTGATGACTGTCGGCTCCCCGTGAGGCCCCTGGATGGCTGGGAAGAAGGGAGAGCTCTGCATCAGGTGGCGTGCTGACGGTGCATTCCATCACATGTGCTAAGTAAAAAGGCCGAGGGGACCTGGGTTGAAAACCCAGCTTCACTCTTCCAACATGCATCTGTGGACAAGTTCCATAACTTTTGTGAGCCTCAGTGTGCAGATAAAGTGTGTTGTAAACTGAAAGGTGCTGTGCAAATTTCAGGCGATCATTTCACGAGCCACACATCTAATAAACGTGTCTTCAGATATTGGTCAAAGGGAACCAAATTGGCCAGGTGCAGTGGCTCACACCTGTAATCCCAGCACTTTGGGAGACTGAGACGGGTGGATTACTTGAGGTCAAGAGTTGGAGACCATTCTGGCCAACACGGTAAATCACTGTCTCTACTAAAAATACAAAATTAGCTGGATGTGGTGGCCCATGCCTATAATTCCAGCTACTCAGGAGGCTGAGGCAGGAGAACTGCTTGAACCTGGGGAGGCAGAGGCTACAGTGAGCCAAGATCATGCCACTGCACTCCAGCCTGGGTGACAGAGCAAGACTTCACCTAAAAAAAAAAAGAAAAAAGGATCCAAATAAAGCAATAACATGAATGTAAGCTCATGGTTTAATGATATTTATTCTGTTGTAATCAGTAGTTTGGCTAGTGATTCATGTTCATGAAAAACAGACGTTAGGGCTCTGATTTAGAAAAATGACTTCATGTTAGTTATCTGACTAATGGGGAGGCTGAGAGCCACTGTGTCCTCCCCATCTGCCCTCAGCCCTGTGCTGCCCTCCCTGTAAGGGCTTGTCTCTGCAGCCCCAGACCACAGAGGGAGGCACAGCTAGTGAACCAAGCAACAGACCAGTACCATGGAGACAAAGTAAACCACGTTTGGGTGTGGCCCAAACTGGTTAACCATTCTGGCATTTTCTGGTAAGCTACGATTCTGATGTTCCTAGAACAAAATTAGCCCATTCTATTTGCCTTTTGTTCTTTTCTCAGGAGTCTCCCACACTTCTGAGAATGGGTTTTTAGATTTCAGACATTTAATTTTCATTGAGAGGGCACAGAGGAAGGCAAAATGATATCACAAGCCTGGTAACTTTTAAGGATGCCCTCTGAGATGGTCAGACCTGTCACAAAACCCAAAGCACCCTCTCAGTGCAGAGACGCTGGGCTTAACCGTGATAACAGGTTAGTTCTGCGTGTCTACAGGCGATCACCTGCAGTTTGGAAGAGGCCAGAAATTCCAAGGCACTTGTTAGAAGGGGCTGTCTCTGGAGAATCCTTACTGAAAAAAGGAGGAAGTCAAGCCTTGGTCGTTGCCCTCACAGCTCTTTAGTTAAGACCCTGAGCTCCACGCTGGCATGGTCCAGATGTACCTTTTTTTTTTTTAGACAGGGTCTCACTCTGTCTCCCAGGCTGAAGTGCAGTGGCATGATCTCAACTTACTGGAACCCCCACCTCCTGGGTTCAAGTGATTCTCATGGCTTGGCCTCCTGAAAAGCTGGGATTACAGACTTGCACCACCACACCCAGCTAATTTTTGTATTTTTAGTAAAGACAGTGTTTTGCCATGTTGCCCAGGCTGGTCTCGAACTCCTGGGTTCAGGTGATCCACCCACCTGAGCCTCCCAAAGTGCTGGGATTACAGGCGTGAGTTACTGTGCCTAGGCCCCAGACGCACCCTCTTCCGAGGCCAACTCTTTGGTGGTTTTAGTTTTGTCTTCAAGGTGAAGAATTTAATATTACTCTGCCAAGCCATTTTTAGAGCTGTGAGTACTGAGATGAACATTCTGTGTACCTCCATGTTTCTATAAAATGCCACCTTTCAGAGCTACGCCTTGACTTCTGACGGAGTGTTCCCAGAGTCGTGTTTGTGGGTTCCAGTCACTCATTCACCACCCTCACAATTGACCTTGCTGTAAGTTAAAAAAAAAAAAAAGCTGGGGGTGGGAGGGAAAACTGCATCAGAAGGGGGCTTCAAGAAGGGGACATTAAAGTTACTTGTATTACTTAGGTTGGTATAAAAGTAATTGCATTTCTTGCCATTAATTTTAATGGCAAAAACCACAGTTACTTTTGCACCATCCTAATAAAACTGGGAGGCAACTATGGACCCTCTACACTTTATTTATGGGGCTCTGAGATCTAAAAACACCAAGAAAAATGTATTAGCATGCAACTTACAGAACAGACTCTGCCCTTGAGCTGGGAATGGTTCTGAGACCACCCACCGCAAAGGACTGGCTGGGCTGAAACCCAACAGAATGTAGCATCCTCCCATCGAGAAGGGCATTCGAACGACAGTTTTCTTTAATATGCTACTGCTTAGTGGAATCAGAAACCAACGATTATTTTTTTATTGCTGGTAATGTTCATTCGTTCCTGGAACTAAGACTCATGAGTTCGCTGCTTCTTACTCCGTGAGCGTCCTGGCGTGGTCCCCTCCCGGCCACCTACATCCTCTGCAGCAGCCCCTCCCACAGCTTTTGTGGTGGGCAGTGGGTTTGTTCTCTTCCCTGGGCTGCCCAGTCTTGCTGCCTGGCTCATCCCAGTTCTTGGCCTGGTGCCCAGCTTCCTTCCGGCTATGGAGGAGGATGAGGAGCCCAGCACCTTGAATTGGGGCACCTGCTAAGAGGACTCTTATCTGGAAAAGAGGGGACTCCAGAGGCAATAAGGCAGGTGCTGGTTTGCTTTTTACTGGACTCCCAGGCACCAGGCTAGCAGGGCGGCTCACCCTGACTGTGCCCAGCAGGATCCCCATGTTAGGGCCTTTGGTCCTCACCCTCACAGGGAGAACTGTCATTATCACCAGCAGATTTTGGATGCAACTCCAGGCACAGAAACTAAGCAGTGTGCTCAGTATCCCTTAGTGAGTAGCAGGGCCAGGACCTGAACAAGGTGGCTTAATCCCAGAGCTCACTTCTCAATCGCTTCCCTGTGTGGTTTTCAGAAGCTGATAACTAGCAGTTGACTGGTGGCCTGGGGAGTAGGAAAAGGCGTCTCGTGGCAATTACAGATGTCTTCAGGCACTGCCTCTAGGACAGCCCAAAGGAATGAAGCCAGTCCCAGTGCCCTGCTCTGGAAGATGTGGTCACACGGTTTGGGGTGTTGAGTAGCTTGAGAATCTGCCTATCTAGATCAGAATATTCAAACTCAAGTCTGTTTTATTAATGGGTTATCATTCTCATCAGTGAGATTGTGACCACTGGTAAAAGTCTAACTGCTTTCTACAATACATTCCCAGGGAACATTTAAAATTATTTTCTCCAAATAATCGCACTTTATACAATCAAGAATTGTTATAGGCCAGGTGCGGTGACTCACACCTGTAATCCCTGCACCTTACAAGGCTGAGGCAGGTCACGTGAGGTCAGGAGTTAAAAACCAGCCTGGCGAACATGGTGAAACCCCCATCTCTACTAAAAATACAAAAATGACCCGGGCGTGGTGGCGAGCACCTGTAATCCCAGCTACTCAGGAGGCTGGGGCAGCAGAATTCCATGAACCTGGGAATTGGAGATTGCAGTGAGCTGAGATAGCGCCGCTGCACTTCAGCCTGGGAGACAGAGGGAGACTCCGTTTCAAAAAAAAGAGAGAGAATTGTTATAACAACATTTAAAGAAGTGTTATAGGGAGAAAACAAGCTATTAAAAGGTAAGCGTTGCATTATCTTTGCAAGTTGCTTTTGTGAGCCTGAGATGCTATCAGACACCTTCCATCTTAAGTTCAATCCGGCGTTCTCCATGCCTTTGCTCAGTCCCTCTTTTCCTTCGCCCCCATCCCTCCCAAGTCGGCTCCTCAGCACCCATTTTCCCTGGTGCACACCCTCCTGACTACCCCTGCCTGCAGAGCCCCCGCGCTGAAGCCCTGGGTCCGGGTCAAGGCGGGAAGATGAGTGCGCACAGGCGCGCGCTCACGTTACCAAGTCGGGTCAGCGTGCTGAGAAAAGGGGATTGGGAACTGGGGAGGGGGGGCTGTAAAATGTAAACGTGCTTTAAATTTTACATTTCCTGCTCTGGCCGGGACAGGCTGACCTTCTGATTATAATGCGAGTCGTCCCGTCGCTTCTGCCCCCAGCCGGGCAAGGGGGCACCGTTTCCCACAGGACTTACATTTTGAGTGACTAGGGAGTTGGGTGCCTGGAGGAGGCGCGGGCTGGAGCCCCCCAGGGGGAGACCGGAGCCTGCCACGGTCGCAGCCTGGACGGTGCGGACCCACTGCTCTGCGACGCTGGATCGGCCACAGCGGCTCGCATCCATGCCCTGCAGGCTCGTTCCCCCTAAGGGCCGCCGCACCGGGCCGAGGAGGGGGTCTGTGAGCGCGCAGCTGCGTCGTCCTGGAAGCCGGCCCTTCTCGGGGTGCCGCCTTAGCTGGGTGCCCGGCCGGGTGCGGGGGCGGGGCTGGGGCCGAGGCTTCTGTGTCCGGGAAGTTCTGCTGGGCCTGAGGGTGACGGACGTCAGAGGACTGGGGGGCGCAGCCCTCGCCCCGCCCCCGGGGGAGACCCCTCTATGGGCCGACGTGTGCCCAAGCGCCAGCCGCTGATTCAGGTCGCCGCGGGTGGAGCTGCTGCCGGGGTCGGAGGGGTCTTTTCCTCCGGGTTGTCTTTCTGACTGCGGCCGGAGGGGTGGGCGGTGATAGACAGCGGGGCGGGCCCGGACAGGGCATGGGAGGTCCGGGCGGGACGGGTCGGGGAGGGTGGGGAAGGGGGCGGGGCACGGGTGGGCGGAGCCGGCAGGACTCTCCGAGGCGGCGCGGGGCGGGCCGTGGGGAGGTGGGCGGAGGCGCCCGAGCCCCGCCTCCCCCGCGCCGCCCACCCAGTCCGGCTCTGCCCTGGGCCACCTGCGCCCCACCCCTGCCGGCCGCGCCCCAGCCCGGGACCTCTCCCCGCTCCTGCCCCGGAAGCGTGAGCGTCACTTCGCGGCGAGTGGCTCAGTCTCCGAGGACAGAGTGCGCGCCCCCTGGTCCGGCCCGTGAGGGGCTCCCGGAGCGGTCCCCGAGCGTTTCCCGCCGGTGGAGCGGCCCGAGCCCGTCAGGATGACCAGCCCCGCGGCCGCGCAGAGCCGGGAGATCGACTGCCTGAGCCCGGAAGCGCAGAGGCTGGTGAGGGAAAAGCGCCCCCGAAACTTTCTTTCCTGACCGCGGCGGGCTTTCAGGGGCTTCCTGCTCATTCCGGTGTCAAGGGCAGGCGCAGGTGCCCGGGAGGCGAGGGGTGGGCTCCTTCGGGGGCCCCCAGCGCGGTGGGAGCGGGCGCGGTGCGGGTCCGTGAGTGGCCAGCGAGCGGCGCCCCTCGTCCGCCGTGAAGCACATTTTATTGCGGGACGCCCCTTCCAAGGACGAAAAGGCACATGGTCTCTCCCCACCCGAGGCGATGGGCGCTGGACAAGCTCTGCGCCCAGTCTAGAGTCACACGGGGCTGCCGGTTTGCTGTTTTACAAAATGCCGCACCCAGGACCGGGTGCCCAGAGCCCGTGCCCTCACCCGCGGTTGGGACCACCGGCGAGTGGCTGCGGTGCTTGGAGCCCTCATCGCGTTCAGCACCTGAAAACCGCCTCCCCGGAGGACCCCGGACCCCAGACCCCAGACCCACTTTGGCTGCTCTCCCGGGCCTGCCCAGCCCGGACGGGATCCTGCCTCTGTAGGTTTTGCCGTTGTCCAGCTCGGTATGCAGTCGTGGGACCTTGGCTGTATCCAGCATTAAAATTGAACAGGGGATGAGGCGGGGAGGGTTTGCAAGTACACATTTCATGCAGCTTGTGGTTGAACATACATGGGAATAAAAGTGAAAGGTTGCCCTTTGGAAAATCTAAAACCCTAGCTTTCCAGTGAATCAGGTGTTCGTGGGATCTTGGTAAAAGTATGAGCCCCAAACAATCACTCTTTCATCAGGTGGAAATTAATCATCTGCTGGGCGTGTGTGGAAGATTTGAGATGAATCAGACTGCCTTGACCTTGGGAGACTTACTAGGAAATGCCGGAGAGAGGTGTAGAAATAGGGTTTGGTGAACGCATGCTGAAGAGTCAGTTCTTTGCTTGTCTCAGAAGGTGGCTGTTTGTTCAATGTCCATTTTAGTGTGTTTTTTCTGTGACCTCATTTATAACTCTGGCAGTAGGCCAGCCCTTTGGAGCTGGTTTTTACCCCTTCACCTAATTAGTTCCTAGGGGCCTGGGAAGGGAAACCCTTGAATCGCCATCAGGAAAGAAGAATGGTGGGCATGTGGCTGTGTGGTGCCCAGGTTCTGGGGAGCAGCCTCAGACACCATAGATGGCAGGAGCGGGTGGAGGTGAAGAGCTGCCTGCTGGGCTGTAGTCCTTGGAGAAGGGAAGAGTAAACATTGACACAGGATGTGAGGAAGCCACGGACAGGCTGGTCAGAGGAGTCAGCAGAGGCACACCTGGAGCAGCTAAGGCACTGGCTACAGGGCTGTTACTTAAGGCTGGGAGCCTCCTGGGCGGGTCTGGGTTCAGATGACTTCTTCCAGATGCTGCCGGGAAGAAGGGAGAGGAAAGTTGGACTGCGTGCAACCGAGTAGTCATGTGATCAGCCCTGGTCCACTGTCCCTCACCCCCAGTTCAAGAACCCCATAAGCTCTGAAGACTGGAAGATTGGTGTTTTGTTTTGGTTTGGTTTCGTTTTATAAGTTTGTGGCAGAATTTTGGCAGTGAGGCTTGCCCTGCCCAGTGGGGAGGGGGGGCTGTTTTTGGTCTTCTTTATTCCTCTCAGTGTGAATTTTCATGCGTTTCTCTGCAGTCTTGTTGATGTCTTTGATTAGGGGCTGCTACTATGGGTTGTACCAGAATATATGGTGTACGCGTCTTACTACGTTTCTGACGTCTAGAAATACTGAATTCTAAAGCATGGCCCCAAGCGTTTATAGTAAGAAATCGTGAACCTGTAGGAGCTTTTCTTGGCAAATGGTCACAGAAACTTTATCAGAGTGGGACATGGTGAACAAAACCAAAATTTAGTTCCTGTTAAGAAGTTAATGGTTAGGTGGGGAAGGAAGCGTGCTAAGTGATGATAGGAATTGGGGTTCACCATGGGTGGGGGTATATTGGAAGGGGTGTCACCCAGTGGCTCCCTTGGGCCATGGGCTGGGCATACCCTCAGGATAGTGGTAGTGGATGTTTCACACTGGTTTGTGCCAGTTCGTGTTCTGCATTGTGTCTGTGGGTTCAGAGATGGGTCTCCTGTGGAGAGGAGGGACTGGGGGCCGCATCCATTCAGAGGAGAGCTGGGTTGGTCGGAGGAAGTAGATTTGGTGAATTCCACCTCAATTAGAAGACAAAAGCAGGATCTGAGTGGGAGCTTGGGCTTCAGCAAGTGGGCGCTGGCCCTGGAGCCATAGGAGAGGCTCCAATGGGGACAGTGGAGAAACGGCATTTCCTCAGCTTTTGTAACTTCCCCGTGTTTGCGATGACTTGTGTCACCCCCTCTCTTTCCACATACTGATTAGCACTCAGCCTTTCTAAACCACCAGCACTGGGAGAAGGCTGTTAGGGGAGAGCATGCACACACATCCTCCCAAGCCCCATCTCATTATAGGTAACTGGCCCAGGGTCCCCAGGTCTGGGAGAGTGGGAGTCTTGACCAATGTGGGGATGAAGTTGGCACAAGGTGGGCCGGCTCTGCCCTAGCTCAGTCTGAGATGGTAGAACCTGGAATCATATGGTGTGTTTTAGGCATGTCATTTCCCCGGGCAGGTAAGATAGAAATATAGTAAGGTAGGTCTTTTCTAATAGTATTGAGAGTGTCCTACTGGGGCAGAGATGGAGATTAAATTTCCCTTTTCCTTTCAGAGTCAGTTTCTGTTCACTCTGAACTAATATCATACAGCGGAAGCCTCCTTAGCAACTTTCAAAAAACCCTGCAGTCTCAACTGCCACTTACGCTGAGCACAGGAAATCAAGTTATTTATAGTTGCAAAATGTGTTTCAGCGAAGTTGATTGGAGCGTTACCTGATTAGAGTGAGATTCTTATCCAATCCCTACAGAATTGTGAGGCTAAATGTTGGCGCAGTGTGTTTGCTCCTCAAAAGGCAATGGCCAAGAGGAATTTCTTATCCCCGAAAAAATCAGGCGTGTGACTCAGCAAAGGAATTGTTTATGACTGGTTACTCATATGCCAGTGCTTCCAAAATATCTGCTCATATTTAAAGGAGTAATCTTGAAGCCCCAGAGGCGATAATGTTTAGATTACCAGCGTGTTCTCCAGTCAGTGAGTCTGTTACATCTCACTACATGTTAGACGTGGAACAGGAGAAGAGGATTTTTATTACCTTACTGTTTTTACCAGAGGCTGCCCAAATTTGAGTTTTGTTGTTTTGTTTTGTTTTTTAATAAAGAAGCTTATTTTCATGGAATGGACTTACTAGAACTTTCATTATTCAGACTACCTAGATAAAATTAAGTAAATTCATTTCTTTCTCCCAAATTAAATATTTTGACTACATGCAAGATTTAATCATTCAGAGTTGCCATGTATTTGATTATAGACCAGTAGAATAATCCCCCTGCCCCCGGCCAGATTCCAAAACAATCAACTAAAACACACACACACCCAGCAACACAAATGATATGTATTGTGAGACTCACTCCTTCATTTTGGAAAGGGCCGGTGCTCAGTGCTTCCAGTGGTTTCTCCCTGGTATTGTAACTTTACAACTTTAAAATTAGGTAAGTAGTTTCCCCTTGAATCTAAAGTACAACTACTTTGTAGTAGAGAGGTAATTTATCTGAAATCACATAACAAAGATTTAATTTTAACCAAGATGTTTCATTTATGTGTTTGTATGATGAAGAAGATCACCACTGTGAGCCTTCAGTCTTTCTCATTGTCTGTGGGAAGTGGGTGTATGATTTTTCTAGGGAAAGGAGTGGGCTCTCTGTGTGGGTTGGGAACCTCTGCTCGCCTCCTCTGATGTTTCCCCCGGGGCACTTTTTCCTGCTGCTCTGCTAGGTGGGTGCCTTAGCATGCTTGTCTTCTCATTGTGCTTCTAAACGCCTCTGAACTGCATTTATACTCAGGTCAGTAACTGTCAAAGAAGAACTAAGTAGTAAAAGTAGCTAACATTTACCAAAGCCCTGCTGAGTCTACCTGGTGTCTTATATGAAGGTCTTCCCTAACCCTTGCCGTAACCTCATGGGGAGCACTTTTCTCTCCATTTTTCAGATAAAGAGGAAACTGAGGCTCAGAAAGTTCAGGGACTTTCCAAGCCCTCACAGCTGGTCAGGAGCAGAGCCAGTTCAGATCCGGGCCTGCTGACTCGGAACCGGTACTGATAATTCTCACCACTGCGCAGTGCTGCAGGCAGGGGCTGGCAGGTAGTAAATGTCAAGACAGCTGTGGCTGCTGCTTTGGTCACTGCTGCCTGCTTTTCTCTGCAGCCCTGCCGTCCCATACCCCAGTATTGAGGCTGAAGGGTGTATCTTTACTAAAGCTGCCTCTTAGAGCGAAGTCCTTGTCCTGAATACATACTGAGAAGCCTTCACTCTATCACACTCTTCTGTTCTCTGCCTGGTCATTTCCAGGCAGAATAGAGCAGTCAGTCCGTGAACTTTCTCTTCTTTTTTTTTTTGAGACAGAGTCTCACTCTGTCACCCAGACTGGAGCACATTGGTGTGATCTCGGCTCACTGAAACCTCCATCTCCCAGGTTCAAATGATTCTCCTGCCTCAGCCTCCTGAGTAGCTGGGACTATAGGCTTGTGCCACCACACCCAGCTAATTTTTGTATTTCTAGTAGAGACAGGGTTTCACCATGTTGTCCAGGCGGGTCTCAAACTCCTGACCTCAAGTGATCCACCTGCCTCGGCCTCCCAAAGTGCTGGATTACAGGTGTGAGCCACTGCGCCCGGCCCAATGAACTATTTTTCAACATATGGAAAATAATGGTAGAAATGAAACAGCTGTGGGACTTGTTTGGCTATTTTTGTACTACGCTAAAATGTTCACTGCTGCCTATGTCGCCACACACCTGAGAGCAGCTGTGGTTTAAGTGGTTTTGGTTTTTGTTCTCCCCCTGGGTACGATAGAGCTCTTCCCCCGCCTCATGCAAGTACACAAGTTCATGGAGGATAAACATGACAGCTGCCGTTTCTTT